TTTTTTTTTTTTTTTTCCTGTGTACTTTTATTCAGACCATTTTTGTTTGTTTTGTTTTTTTGAGACAGAGTCTCACTATGTCACCCTTGGTAGAGTGCCTTGACATCACAGTTCACAGCAACCTCCAGTTCTTGGGCTTAAGTGATTCTCTTGCCTCAGCCTCCCAAGCAGCTGGAACTACAGGCGCCCATCAGAATGCTCAACTATTTTGTTGTTGTTGCAGTTCTTTAGCTGGCCCAGGCCAGGTTCAAACCTGCCATTCTTGGTGTACGTGGCTGGTGCCATAACCACCGTGCTACGGGCTCTGAGCCTATTCAGACCATTTTCATGCTCCTGTCCTCTGACATCTGACCTGGATCCCCCTCTTCCTGGGAGGCTTTCTCTAGGCTGTCTGCAGACCAGACATCCCCCATCCAGGGAGGGCCTGAGGGGAGTACCTGTATTTCCTTCAGAGTCAAGCTTCTGTCAACGGACAGGTCAGATCCAGACAGGCCAGGCTCTGGTATTGGGAGTGTGGCCAGGCAGCCAGGGACACAGGTGGGGTCTGGAGCTATGGCTCACTGGCTTCTTCATCTAATGCTGGCTACACAGAGGCATTTATCAGGAAACTCATCAGGCTGTAGACTTAGGATTTGTGTACCTTTTTAATGTATGTTATCCTTTAATAAAACATTTTTATTGGATAAGAGTAAGTGAGGAGCTGGGGACTCAGGGGATGTTTCAGAGAGAAGCAAGTGGCTATGGCTCATTTCCAAGTACTTCCTCATCAGCCAGAGCTCTCAGAGTGAGCAGACATGGCCTCTGCCTGCAGGGTGCTCACAGGGACTCAGGGGCCCTCCTGAGACTGGGCAGGAAACTTGGATGGGCTCATGACATGGGTAGGAGCTTGCCAGGTGAACAAGGCATGTTGGGGCATGTGTGCCAGGAAGAAAATACTATTTGGAGGAGATGGGGCCTCAGGTGAGGCTGGGCCCTGCTGGGAATTCCCACTGTATTCTATTCTAGTCTTCTAGCAGTAAGGGGTGGGGTCCAATAGGCAAAGCCTGATGAGGGGCGGAGGCTCACAGCAGGGCAGAGGTGGGAGAATGGGAAGTTTCATATTTCAGAGATATTTTTGAGGTTACATTTAAAGAAGAGAAAAGGAGTACAGCATGTGGGCTGCCTGGCCATGGAGTGGCCATCCTCTGCCTTTCTGGCATCCATCTTGCCCTCTTCCCTGTGGTGGCTCCACTGCCATATTCTCTGTTCTCAAGCACCCTCCCCAATCAAATTCACCTTCTCTGCCTTTCCATTGTCTTTATTGTCTGTAACATACTCCTTCAGAAGTTAGAGACTTCAAGCCACAGTTTGTTATTGTTCCATCTCATGACTCTGGGTCAGGACAGCAGGTAAAGCTGGCTGTCTCTAAACATGTCTGGGGCCCTGGCAGGAGGCAGGGGTGGGGGACCCACCAGGCATGGACTTGAGTATTCCTTTCCCTCCCCCTCCATGTTGCCTTACTGAGTGAGAAGGGACAGAGGGAGCTCCTCACAGCCTGCCTGGGCTCTGAGAAGGGGAACAGGTACTGCTACTGCATTACCGTGCTCTCTTGGCGTAAGAAGTCATAGTTCAGAATCCAGAGAACAGGCTGTAGGCCTCAGTCCTCAGTGGGGCTGAAAAATTCACAGCATCTATAATCTACCACAGCAGAGGATGCTTTTAGTGTCTTCTGTTCTTCCTTGAAGGTGTTCAATGCTTCTTAGTTCAGAGAGGTTATGGCTTGCAGGTGGACACTACACCCATAGAGGACTCCATGGTTTGTTCTTTTTGTGGGGAAGGGTGTTGGGGGGATGGGGCAGCCCCTCTCAATGCTGCCATGCTGGCGTGCTGGCATCCCTGCCCTCTCTGCCCAGCCTGCAATGTGCAATTGTAGCACCACCCCTCTACCCTTCATTCTTGGTAGAATGGAGGACCTGACTCAGGATCTGCACTACTGAACCCTAGGTTCATGAAAGGAAATAAATATAATATCCAGAAAAGGGGTTTCATGGCTACTAAATGTAGATTAAACAAAGCTAAGCAGATGGCTGCTGCTTATAGGGGAAGGCAGCAAATAGAAATGCATACCAGGGTGGCACCTGTAGGTCACTGGGTAGGGCACTGGCCAGGGCACTGGCCACATACACCCAGGCTGGCAGGTTCAAACCTAGCCCAGGCCAGCTAAACAGCAAGGACAACTGCAACAAAAAAATAGCCAGGCATTGTAGCAGGCACCTGTAGTCCCAGCTACTCGAGAGACTGAGGCAAGAAAATCGCATAAGCCCAAAGTTTGAGGT